CCGTTCTAGGGTGCAAAGAGTACAACAGTTTGCTCGTTAACGCATTGAACCGTATTTTTAAAAGCAATCTGTCCTTGAATAATTTCAAATGGCTGCTTACAAAACTGGAGCTTTCGTGCGTTCGAAATATTATACCCCGTTCTAGAAAACGCCTCTGAAATGGGTACCGCGTTCTAAATCAGGAGCTTCAAAATCACGACCCCGTTGGGCGGCTCCTACCCGTATAGGTAATGTATGGGAGTACCCCCCCCGGACACCATCTCCGTAGCCTGCGTAGAAGCGTTTCCGCGCGACTAGCTCGCTAAGATCGTTTTTGTACAACTCAGTAACTATTTGTACGGTCAGTGATATTTGCAGTCAAACAGGTTCGCAATAATAGAAGGACAATTTTAATTATTTCTTTTCCTAAACTAATAGCCTTCAGGAACTATAAATATAAAGATTGTTGACAAAAATAACAAAACAGCCAATACGAAAAGCTGGACTTGACTCGGCTCGTATCGGTCTGAGCTCACCCCGCCGGGTTGGGGGGTGGGGGTGGCGGTTCAGCCTTATCAAACATTCGTCAGAAAAAAAACATTGTTCTATTAAATGAAGCTCACTCTTGATTGTTTTTGGATCGTCTTATTAACCGCAAAAGTAAATTATTCAGTCAATTTGATTCAAATCGACCGTGACCAGCGGCTTGTTTTCAAACGTCTCCGACAGGTCAAATATTACCAGATACATGATGTAACAACATAGTATTTAAAACAGTTTACCTCCAAGGTTTAGTTAAAACCACAAACACCATGAGCTTTATGAGACGTTCCGTAAAGAAAATGGACAAAATCGATGAAGAGACGGAAACGATTTCAAATTCAGGATTGAAAGAAACATCTGGCCACCTAGACGATGATTTCAGCGAGAATGATATATTAGACACAATAGAAATGCTTCAAGCTGAGCTTCATGATGTAGTCGGAGATGTAAGAGAATTGAAGAAAAATATTAAGGTCATCGAAAAGGATACCGAGTCTATAAGGCAGCGGCTTCATGAATGTTCAAAGTTTGTTGAACTTGACGTAGAGAAAGATCAAGATAATTTTTGATTCATCGTGGATTGTGTACGGAAACTGAGCACCACAGGCCAGCCGATCAATATTTTTCGATGATTGCGTATTTGACGAAGCAAGAAATATTGACGATCGGAGAGAAAAATCTGGCATAAACCTCGAGAACAGGACTCAATGCTGATGATTTTGACTATATATTGAGCGCCTTGAGCTGTGAATAAACGGACGCGTTTTTACAAAGTAAGAAAAATACTTCAAATATAAATTGACGTTTTCAAGGGACCCGTGTTTTCGCTTTTGTGTCATCATATGATGTCAAATTTTTCGTTAGAAGTCTATTTATTTTGAGATGCTCTTTCCAGCAGTATTGATGACTCAATGGTTAAATCGTAAAACCTCCATGAAAATTCGTAAAAAAATGAAGCTGCTCCTATCCATGAAGAAGGCCAAAGACATTAGACAGTGCCTAGGATTAAAGACATTATACTTTTGAAGAGATATTGGATGCTATTTTGACGCACATCGTAAAATAACAAAGGAGGAAAAGAAATGAAGATTATTATTCATCAATTTACATAACTAACTAAGAACTGAGTGTATAAAGCTTCTTCCGTTTGTGAAACAAAATTATAAAGAAGTGAATGCTGTCTGCGAAGACTGAATTGTTTACAGTGAAAATATCATTTAATGATTAATAAAATTTGCATAAAAGTCGAACGAATTCACAATTAATTGTGGCTTTTCCGTCAAATATGCATATCCAGTGGAACGATCTTATCACGTATTGGAGACTGATCACGTTTCTAATTGGAAGATGATGGTTTTCGAAATGACCTCGATCACTGTCAGGTGGCGGCTGGCGGGACCGAGTTGTCCCGGGCTTTGCCAGTGGTAAAAAGAATGATTTTATTGGCCGGTACCTTATTGGCCTGCAGACTGATTTGAAGATCGATGAAGACCATCGAACAGTCATTCTGTCTCCCTCAGACTAAGTACCAGCCTGTGCCAGCCCCAATCACCTCAAACAAAATCGGGTTTAATGTTTCACATTTTACTTTAAGTTCCCCTAGGATGACCGGACAGGTACAAATTTTATGCCGCTGGATCTAAAAGTACTCTGGATAGTTTAAAAAGTGCTTTCCATGTATTTAGGAGGAAACCGTCGTTAGTAAGCTGACCACACCTTTGCCCATCTTCTTACAAGGCATGGTGCGCAAGGTGTTATTGAACGGATGCACTACAACTACGCTCTAGGGGAGGGGTGAACTGACAAAATGGCTTCTAGAGTAATCAATCAGCTAGCTTGCGAACAGCAGACGCATTTAGCCAGGCTACTTAGCCCCGCACTCTACGACAAGGCCTAGAACGGGCTATCAATCAACTCACCCTTACTGACTTAGTTAGCCTGTGTGCAGCCAACCCCTTCTCTTAAGCTTCAGATAATCGTAGGGAACTTAGATAATTTCGGAAAATTGTACGTGAAAGGAAATTTTTAGCCTTCCTCAAGTAACAGAAAATTAAGCAATATTTGCTTCTCCGAACAGATATTTTACAGAAAACAGTCGTGGGTGCTCCTGAGTTTAGCAGTTTCATGAGAGCTGATGATTCACTGAATCTCAATTACTGACTCTCTCTTGCATAATCAGACTACAAATACCTGAAATACTGATTGTGATAGTGTGCACGATATTATTTATATCGACTTGTAAACGTGATAACATCGTTCAGGGCTGATCGTTTCGCGTATCGATTTGAAAAAGTGGCATCGCTGGTAGCCTCCCAGCACCCAGACGTTCTTTTGGCTCGTCACGTTGGTAGCTGGAAAAGCCTCCCTGAACACAGTAAATGTAAGAGCTGATCAACATACAAATTCTCCAGTCTGATACTGACCATACATTTCCTTAAGGAATTGGTTGAGAGAATTTGATAAAAGATCAAAGCATTTCCCCTTTGGTAATTATTATATTAATTCTCATAACCCTTTCTCTTTATGATGTGCTGATATTATTAGGAGAAAACTGATGTTGATCACTCTTGGGACCGATAGCTTGCTGTCAGAGATTTGGAAACGAGATTTATTTCACAGGGATTTCACGCTGGGAGATCATACCACCTGCTATGATGTGGGCAAAAGTCATTAGTTTACATTAAGTAATGAAGTGATGAACAACTTAAAATTACAATGCATTCAAAGTCAATAACTGTATTTGATGCATTCATGATTAAGGGTCCGTGTCACGTTCGATATTTCTATGGCCATTAGTCACATTAGTATTACAAAGGGTCTCCGAAATGGCTACTTTATTTGCAAAATAGCGAAACTGTCTTTATTCACTAATGTTACGGCAGGGACTAGGTTTTGTTCATCGTAAACTCTGTCTAAACTTTAAGATAAACGAAGTGCGTGCCATTGGAAACTCAGTGCATGCTTGATTATACTTCCTTCCTCAAATTGAACTTGGTTAGTTTTATATATTC